GGTTGTTGTCGGGACATTGAGTCGAGTAAACTGTTACAGCTAACTATGGAAAAAGGAGACCGTAGTAAGTTTATTTGGGAAAAGAGAAGGTATTCAACGCAGAAAGGTACAAAACAGAGGTGGTTATTCTTTGCAAAACCCCCCTTAACGATAGTGTAATTGCGATGTTACGAGCTCCATGAATAACCTCATATTTTTAGACTTAGGTCATACCTGTGTGTTTTAGCTAGAAGGTAATGTGTGTATTTTATTATAAGTTGTGTAGTTTAAGAACTGTTTGCTTAGGCTTTAAACTCCAGTTTAAAAAACCAAAAGGCTTTACGTCCACATTAGTTGGTTTGGTTTCTTTTTGTCCAAGGTGTATTTGACCTTTGGGTTATAGTTATTTCCTGTTTTCCTGCGGGAGAGGGGGTTTGTCCCCAGAGTTGCTGTATAACTCCCTTTGCAGGAGGGCAGCCTCATCCACGGAGTTCACTCCGTCACGGAGGGGAGTGTGTAGGGCTGGTGTTAAGAGGCGTGTTTGGGATGGGATACCACACGCTTTTTGGTTTCGGTGGTCCCGGCATCCATAACACATCAGCAAGATCAGCCACGAGTGTAGGCAAAGGCCTACCCCTGGTGAATTGCCCCCCTATCACAATGGCCCACGCGCATTGAGTGCAGTAATACCCGTGCAAAGGATTCCCAATTCCGCAACCAAGTACTGAGTGTATTTATGGGACATTTTCCAAAGGCTTGATATGTGTTTGGGTATAAATCTTTTTTTTACTTGGTCTGAGAACTATTCTAATTTTTTTGTGAGATAGATTTTTTGGAGTTTTTCTTAAGCTGTATGCCATAATCCAGCATATTACAAATAAAAAAGGCTTGCCAATATTTCAGTAGATTGGTAATGATACAGAAGGTATGACATTTTTTTTGTATTGCATTAACAGAAAAATAAAAGAAGTTCAACACAATATTCCTAATTTTCTGTAGAAGTCCTGATAATAGCCAGGATGACGGGGGTCATATGGATGACGGGGAAGAAAAGTCCATAATGTGTTTGAAAAAATAGGAAGCTAATAAAGAAAAGTGGAAAAATGGTCATACAAACTGGGGTTCAAGCTCGTCAGCAAGCACATCTTGCTTTAAGAAATTTAACAATAAACGCAAGATGAACCTTGAAAGAAGCTTACATTATATGGAAATCAAGTCAGCCGAGATGAGGTTCAATGATTAAATAATCCTGGGCTAGGTTGGTAGAAAATGTACATGGAAAACTCATATTAAAACATTTGAAACAAAATCCAAAAAAGTGTTGAACCTTATTAAGAGGCAGTGGGCTGGATGTGAACTGGGGGCAGACAAAACAGGCATTAATCGACATCTATCGGGCCAATTTGAGCGACAACACTGGATTATGGGTGTTTAATATATGCAGCAGCAGCACACACGTCATTACTAAAAAATGGATAGGTTACAATATAAAGCGTTACGGTTGTGTATAGGTGCAATTAAGTTCAACCACTACTAATGCAATATTAGTTGAAGCAGAGAGATCCATTGGAGCTAAGAAGGAGAGAAATTGCTCTTGCTTATTGGTCAGGTTAAAAGGAAGTGGGGAAGGAAATATCACAAACAAACACTACTAGGAGGCTGGGAATATTCTAAGTTTCAGGGCGTGGGTTTTGGATGGACAAATAAAGAAAAAATAAGGACATACGGCATGCATGAGTTAGTGTTTCCACATCAAACCATTCAGTAGTGTACACCCGCCATGTCTCTTTCCATAGTAAATATAGATGGTGAAGTATTGTAGAAAAGAAAAGAGAGGCAAATAAATGAAGTAGGACTCAAAACAAGTTTGTACCTCAGGAATAATTATCACAATTACCTCAAAATATATACAGATGGTTCTAAAAACAAAGAAGAGTGTGTCGGAATTGGTATATATATCCCAGAATTTAAAGTGTCAATATCAACAAGAGCATCAGACCAACTTTCAGTGTATACAGCAGAAATGCTGGCAGTAGTAATAGGATTACAGTGGGTGGAAGAGGTCAGACCAGACAGGGTGGTGATATGCACAGATTCATTATCCAGTTTACAAAGCATACAGTCAACAACAACTGCCAGAGAAGACATACTCATAGAAATCAATCACAGCCTGTTAAGACTTCACAGAAGCGGCATAGATCTGCAGTTCTGCTGGGTGCCTGCGCATGAGGGGGTGAAAGGGAACGAGTGTGCTGATAGATTAGCAAAAAGTGCACTACAAAAGGAAATCACATTACCAGTTCAACTTGGAAAAGGAGAAGGAAAAGCAGTTATTAAGAAGAAAGGGATGGAGATCTGGCAGAAAAGGTGGGAGAAAGACCAGAAAGGCAAAGAATACCATCAAGTGCAAAAGACAATTACAATTAATATTTATAAAGAAAGAAACAGAAGAGAGGAAGTAATGATAGCTAGGCTCAGACTAAATCACACTGCATTAAATGGTACGCTGTATGTCATGGGGAAAAGTGACAGTGACAAGTGTGGGAACTGTGGAGTTAGGGAAAATGTGGAACATATTTTATTACATTGTGTCACCAATAGAGTTGAAAGAGGGAAATTAAGGGATACAGTTTTAGAGGCAGAGAGGGAGTGGAATGTAGCGGGTATTCTGGGAACAGAAGGAGAAGGAGTAAGAGCTATCAGAAAAGCACTGTTCACCTTTTTGAGGGAAACTGGGATAGGGAAAAGAATTTAACAGTAGACCATGGATGATTTGTTTTTTGTTTTGTTTTATTTATTTTATTTTATTTTATGGTTTATGGTTTTCTTTTTGATATGCTGGTTTATTAGAGGATTGACATGATGATACACACTCGTGTACAGTAGGTGGCGGTATGCAACCAAAAGCTGTTTGCGACCCGCCATTAAAAAAGAGAAGAAGAAGAAGAAGAAGATCCTGTTTGCGGTATTCAGATTATCTCGGTTTCTACCTGCTGGAGGACTTCGGTACCACATCACCACACGGCGCCATATTAGATACACAGTATATTGCAGCGGACGAAGTCAAGGAAAGGGAACTGGACTCCAGATGACAAGGCTTCTCAGGCCGCAGTAGTCAATTCTCAAAACACTCGAGGTGAATGTTTTATGGTTGACAACGAGTAATTGAGTCAAACATCTCGGGCAGTGGAGTCCAAGGCGTGCTGTTTTCGTCGTTGTTTCGCAGAGTTGCCGGCAGACATGACTTCCTTGGTTCAACGGAGCTCGGGCCTGGTGCAGAGGCGGACCGAAGCCTCGCGCAACGCCGCCGACAAAGACCATCCGGACGGCGAGGAGGACGAGGAGCCCCGCCGGGGAGACGAGCCGGATGATGACGATACCGGAGACTCCAAAGAAACACGTCTCACCTTGATGGAAGAAGTGCTGTTGTTAGGACTGAAGGACCGAGAGGTAATAGCAGATACATCCTGGTCTCTAACGCAGTAACATGAAGGTAAATCTTAACATTAGACGATGGTATGTTGCCCAAGCTAACGTTAGCGCCCTTGTTTGCTATAACGCTAGCTATAGCTAACAATAATAATGGACCTCAGAGCTGCAGGCCGAGCTGTTTATGCCTTGAGTCTAAACACGGTTTTGACTAATAACATAACTCAGCAGTGGCGGTCAGGGAATTGGATATTGTCTTGTGACAGATAGTGTTTCTTGGGACTTTTGTGCCTATCGGTATGCTGATGCTAGCTTGCTAGTTAGCTTAACTGAATACAGGGAAAACGATTACAAACAGTGGCCAGAGTAACTCAAACAAATGGCCATGTGTTAATGATCTGTTGGTTTGTACAGTCTGGTAAACATGTTAGATAACAGGAATGCTGAATGTCAATCTTCTGCTATAGTCTTTAATGTGACCTTATCACTCATTAAAAAGTGTACGCGTGAGAGAATTCTAAAGTATTGTCAACCCACTTGTACTATTTCCTGTCTTGTTTTTAATTTGTATTCTGACACATCCTATCCCAGTGGAGTTGATTCGGATTTGTTCACACCGATTCACAAAAATCAATATCAAAAGCTGATTTGTTTAACTTCCAATTTGACTTTTGACTGACTGACACATTCCAAACTTGCAACCAACTCTGTTGCAGGAATTGATGGAGAAAAACCTGATACTGCACACAAAGCAATGCACATACCTAAGGATACTTGACCAGCATTTTTGCATTTTATAGGAAGGCTTCTTCATCCTTTTTAACTAAAAATGTAGTGTGGATAAGGCAGTTTGATGACTAAGTTAGATTCCCCAACATTAACAGTTTGATTTAGTGCTTACTGGTTGCAACCGGATGTTTGTAAAGTAGAGTATTTAGTGATAGGCGTTGCTAATTTGCTCAGGCTGTAAATGCTGTGGTATGGCATTGGTTTATCATTCATACTTCCCCCGGCCCCTATACAAATAAGCATTGCCTAAATAGACCGAGTGCAATACGGTTGAAAGCTCATGGTTATTTTTCAACCGAAAACGTATTAGATTGGTATCGAGTTACTTTCGTTTCTGTGTTTAAAATCTGCATCAGCTCTTTTGGTTTTATTTGCTTGTGTTTCTGTAAAGCTTTCTCTAACTTTTTTAACACTCTTGTCTATGACTTGACTGACAGGAACTGTAGGTGTTGTTTTCAAAGTATCTGTTTACTCACTGGGCTTATCCGCTTGAGCAACAGCAATTCTCCTGGCAGCCAGTCTGGGTCCAGTGAGCTCTTCTGTTAGTTTAGCAGTTGCACAGTTGACACACCAGGATTCTTACATGTGTTTCCTTGTTGTAGGGCTACACCTCGTTCTGGAATGACTGCATCTCATCAGGGCTGCGGGGGTGCATGCTGATCGAGCTGGCTCTGCGAGGACGTCTGCAGCTGGAGGCGTGTGGCATGAGGAGGAAAGGTCTGCTGGCCAGGAAGGTAGGACGCCTGTTTCTGCTTGTGCAGCTTTCTTTCTTCGTTTGTCTTAATCTGTGCTTCTACCACCATCTTGTATTGCAACCGGCACAGTTATTCACAACCAGCTTCAACAAACTCGTAACAACTAACTCTACCAGTGTTCCAAAGACTTAGACTTAGCACCATTTTTATTTTTTTTAAAGTGAACTTATTTGGGCCAAGGGGGGCACATATAAAAACAATACTAGGTCTTATGTGGACTGTCTGAGCTTACTGACTGCAGGCATCATAATACCGAAGAGTATATAGTTGAGATGAATTATATTTTAATTACCAGGTTACCTAAAGAAAAGTACACAGTTTATTATTTATTAACATCTTCTGCTAGTTTTCAGCTACCTGTGGTTGTAGAATCATTGAGCAGGCATTATCCTATTCCAGTATTCTTGTAAACATTTATTTAAAAACACAATGTGTTTAGACCCTAGCTTTGCACAAAGTGCTCATTGTTGGCTTGACATTTCAAAGCTTACCCATTAATCAATTTGCAAGCTATTCAACTTGTAAAGTCTATGTATTTGAAACATTTATAGATATTTTTGAAAACTAATGGATGCTTTCTGTCTATGATATGGTAAGTGTATTCCAGAAGGAAAGTTTCCACTCAACTCTATTCTCTACATGCCTAAACTCCTTACTGTTCCATATTCCTTCATCGTTATTTATAAAGCGCAGAGTGAAACCAAAGGAGTGTATGTGTTTAGGAGTTTTCCAGTTATTGTCATAATGTACTCGGATTAATTAATGCATTTACAACACGTTGTTTGTTTTAATCAGCTTCTGCAATCTGAGGAATTTCTGCTTTTCTCTGTTTTATGTCAATGTGAGATGAAACATTTCTAAGATTATAAACGGCAAGGCACCCCCACCACTCTTGCACTTTTATACAGCAGAAAAATTCAAACAGCAGAACCACAAGGTCTGCCCTAAAATAAGACTGTGTAGTCCCTCTTAGGTCCAGTTCCTTTGGTAAAGAGTGTTTCTATGTGAGGGCATCAACACTCTGGAACATAATACCAATACAGATAAGGAATAACACCTCCTATCATACATTTAACCACTATCATAAGAACTGGCTTTTAAGCAATCAAAAATGTGAACACTTTTAACTGTATCATAGTTAGGGTTGCAAAGGGGCGGAACATTTCCATGGGAAGTTAAGCTGGGGAATTTTGGAAATATTCGATGCAAA